TTCTCTCTAGCCAGTCTAAATGATCTATTATGCAAGGAGTGTTTGAAAACACGTCAGCTTCAATGTCTGCAAAGCTGGTAAAGGTATACCCTGAAACACTTCCAGCTGTTATGCAATGCATCGAGTCAGAAAGTTTACTTGCAAATGGATGCCACACTTTTCAGATTTCCGTTGGTTAAGAAAAATAGATTGAAAGCCGCGTATCGTTTTCCCTCCACTTCTTTGTTCTCCACTGCTTGCAGATCACACAAGAGTCCACTAAATGCACCAACTTGTGGTTGTGATGTCATGAAATGAGGAAAGGGTTACATAATACTATTCTTTGTAAATCTGGGATTTAATTTGAATTTCATAATCAGAATGGGGGAGAAAGAAAGCACAGAAGTGGCTGTTTTTCAAGTCTGGAGGTACTGCAGTGCGGTCATTATGAATTCAGTAATTCAGAAAGGCTGGAGTGATTATGAAGCCAAACAATATTTTCTGAATAGCTAATCAAAACTTGGCACTCTCCTTTTCCGGACTTGCTAAGATTAATGTCGAATAATGACTCTCTAATTCTGACCTCGGGTTCAGGGGGACAAGTCTCAATTCTCCAGTAATTATGCGCCGGCTTCATTTTCTCCATACTCCTCTGACCTCTCCCACTGCTTCACTGCTTTTCTTTTCTTTTAGTTGAATTCTTGCTCACCTACTTTTGTCTCATTTTAATGGAAATATTTTCCCTACTTAAGTCAGTCATCGTGGGTTGACGAAATACGCTCGGGATCGGTTCGCTGACTTCTCAAACTTTCTATACGCGAGTTTCCCTTTGGGATGGCATCGACGGGGAACAAAATTTTTTTAAAAAGCAACAGCTGGGGGAAAAGCTCTCATTTTCATTCCTATTTGAATCTATAGTCAGCTGAGCGCCCATCCTGGCCTCTCCCAGTTAAAAAACATTAAGCGTTCATTAGGGCTGCAGACACGTTTTCACATTTTGACACAGACACAGATCAATTCTCCATCTCATTCGTCAAGGCGCTCAGACGTTCTGCTACCTGGCAGGTATGTGTCAGCGAGTTCAATCCATCACTGAACCTCCCCGCCGGAGAACTGACAGATGCACTTGTAAAAAGGTCCATCTATTCATGTTTTCCAATCAATTCAAGTCCCCACCCCTCGCCTGTTTGTCTATCAGAGCTTAAAAAGTCCAACCTGCTTCATGGCCGACATAACAAGTAGCCATCTTTACACTGTTTTAAAAAAAAATAATAATTACTTTGCTGATTTATTCACACGCGTCTGTCATCTGTGACAGTTTGCCAAAGCTGCTGCAAAGAAACTTAAGGATTTTTTGTTAAACAGCATCGACGCGCTAAATCAAACTAAAGTAAGCAGATATTTGTTACTCAAAAAATAAGAAGAAAAACTTTGAGATCTGTCAAGTCTCCTCGCAGAGTAAGAGTGAAGCTTGCCGATGTAATTGCAAAGGTCGCACCCTGCGAGCTGACGGGCGACGAGTAGTAAAATAAAACGCCTGTCAGGGGTGAGCGGTCATTTCCCCGGCGGTCAAGGTGAAAGTCGGGTGTCCTGGACCTGGTGCAGCCATAAACAAAAAGCGAATGTGACGTTTTGCAGTGTCAGGTCACCAGCTGTGTTTGCATTACAACTATGAGCAAACTTTGTCTACATTCTACTAATGGTGAAACAAATGAATTTTGCAATTGCGTTTTTTTTTCCCCAAATATATTAATTTAAAATCACATGTGAATAAGCTTTGTTTGTTGTTACGATAAATTTTTGTAAATCATTTGCTCTATAAATTTAGTTTTCTTAGGGCAGTTGAAATATACTTAATTTAGAACCAAAATTTCTTATCAATTTTTTAGATTTTGAATTGTTTAGATTAGCCTAATTTAAAATATTAAAAACACACTGGCAGTTCTTAACCCTCCTCTTGTCTTCGGGTCATTTTGACCCGAAGACAACAGGAGGTTATTCTTATTTTTTTCGTCAAGTTCACATTTGAATTGCTCCAGCAGAAAATTCTATCTGAGTTGTGAACACTGTAGGTCTGATTCAGGACTGTTAGATTTCAAGTTTCTGTATGCAGTTGCAATTAAAAAAATGTTTTATAAGGGCTTGTCCTCGGGTCATGTCAACCCGAGGGCAACAGGAGGGGGGGGAAATTTGAAAAGATATCAGTTTTACGGAGATCAATGATGCCATTCCATACTGTTTGCCTGTCCAGCTGTAATTTCCTTAGTCTTCCGGTCAGTCTGACCTGAGGCCTGGGTTTGGTTATCTTTATTTCTTTTGTAAAGTTCACATTTGGATTGCTTGAGCCTAAACTTCCCCTGAGTTGTGCACACCATAGTTCTGATGCAGGACTGTTAGATTAAAGTTTCTGTATGCAGCTGCAATTGAAAAACATATTTTTTAAGGGCTTGTCCTCGGTCGACATGAGCCGAGGACAACAGGAGGGTAATGCCAGTGTGTTCAATATGTATGAACACACTGGCGGACCAAAAGACGTAAACACAAAGGTTTACGTCTTTGGTCCGTCAGACGCCCAATGTTTATACGGGAAGTTTCATAAATAGATTTTTTTGAAAACTTTTTGAACTGGTAACATCAGAATTGAAGCAGTTTTATAATTAACGAGTGGTGACTTCACTAATGACAGTGACTGGATGAGTTCCTCTCATTGCTTTTTTCTACTTTTGTTTAGTTTTCATATTTATCAGCTTGCTGGCTGCCTTTGTTGCTAATTAGCTTGAACTTTGGATTTATTCTTCTATAAACAAGAACATTTGGGGGGAAAAAAAACAAAAAACATCATCATATCGAGTTGCTTTAGATTTTGTGGTTGTCGTGTGTAAATTGTAGCATGCTAGTATCCAGAAGCGAGTTATTTTTTTGTGCACATGTTTTTACTTCGTGTTGCTTCTGCTCATAATGTGGGTCTGTAAACTTGGCAACACGTGCTGGAAGGCAATTTAATATTTCAGTAAAAAAATTCAAACGACAACCACAGCTGTCTAACTTCTCCCAGGCGCACTGCAGTTTGACCTTCGCCTCGTCGTTTATCAATTAATTTTTTTTGTCAGAATGATAAAAGAAGAGCTCTTCATTCTGAATGTTGGCGGCAAGCATGAGAAGTAAACAAACAACGTCTTGGCACGGGGTCGGCTGTGGAGGAAGAGTGGAAATACAAACCAATGTAGGCTTTGAACTTCTTACGTCAGACAACTGAAGTGGAGGAGAGCGGAACAACAAACTACTTCAAACGTGGATGGTAAAATAAAAACAAGCTGGCGTTTGAATTTTCAGTGTGATTTATTTCTGATTGAAATTCTCACTGTAGGACATTTTGACTTTAAAAAAAATCCCAAAGTTCAAATGAGTCAAATGACTATCTGAGAGTCACCCAAAAAATGAGGATGAAAACAAAATCAACTTCTCTGCACTGGCCTTGCAAAAGTATTCTTGTCCCTTGAACATTTTTTACATCTTGCTACACTATTAGCACAAAACTCAACGTTTTTTATTGGGACTTCATAGGAACCGACCGACACAGTGGACAGGAAGTTATCCATAGCTTTCAAAATGTTACAAATAAACCAAGAGGTTTTGATATTAGATTTTTTGTTCTTATTTTAAGTGTTTTTGTACTTAGTTATCTCAGTAAGATATAAAAGCTTGATACTAAGGAAATATGAATTATTCTGAGTAAATAAATACTAGAAACTAGAATATCAAGATTTACAAGCAAACTTTACTTAGTTAACAAAATCTATTCCGATAATTAAAACAGACGATGAGGCGGAATCACAGTACTGCAGATTTGGCTGGATCGTCGGTGCTCCGGTCAGCCTGGAAGGGTTAATGCGTGTGCGAGTGAGTGTTTATACATAAACTGTTTCACTTTGTTCAACCTTTTAGTGCTGTGTTCAAAGTCTGCTTTATACTGTAAATGCTAAAATGCTGTGAGGAACCAGGGACTTATTAAACCCAGAGAAACTCTACAGTCAATACTGTCGACAAATCTGGGCTAATGCACACACGATGTTTTCTTTTTTTCTCGTGCAGTGAAAGATACCCACCTGTTGAGCATATATGTTCAACAAGGAGAACACACATGAACATGTGAGCACACATCCAGAGACTCGAAAGGAAAACAGAAAAGGAGGGGGATGTTTGATGAGAAACAGGAAAAGATATTTGTTTTTGTCAGACAGCTTCGGGACGAATCTAGTAGATGTTAATGAGAGGCAATTAGTTTTGATTAAAAATGAGATTGCTCCCTTACTTCCAATGGAGCTATATCAAAACAAAAATAATGATTAATTTTTGTTGGTTTAAGACATTATTGTGGAGAGCAAAGCTACCCAGGCAGCGAGGTTACAACAGCTCCGAGGCCAAAGTGGAGAGGAAAATAATCATTTAGAGACGGAGCAAAGCTCTCATGTGGCAGTGCTCATAATGTCGTGAGTTAAAAGTCGTAGACGCATGAAATGTTTTTAGAGTTTGCGTAGGTACAGCTACTTGTTGAAGTGTTCATATTTCCTACCCTTTTTAGTAACACTTGATTTGAAGGGGTGTGCATAAAACTGGCATGAGACTGTTGTCAGAAACATGACGTAACACCTGCCATGAAGATGAAGGAGTCCTTATGAATTATTACGACTGTTGTCAGTGAAGTGTCATGTGGTAAATAATGAGACTTTTAATGCAAAGGTGCTCTAAAAGTTCATTAAACATGTAAATCTTTCATATTTCAGTAAATAATGACATTTAATGCAAAGTTTCATTAAAACTTGCATTAAAAGTCTCATTATTTACCAAATGACACTTCATGACAACAATCATGAAGATCAAATCTTAAAGTTACCTAAAAAAGAAGCAATAAATAGTTCTTGTATTTAACTCCATATCCCTAGTACATACTGTATGTGTCTATCTTTGTTCCAGACTTACTTCTTTTTTTTTTTGTATGGGTCTGTGCTCTCCCTCTGCAGCGTCCATTGTAATTGGGAAGTGGTGGTGTGAGATGGAACCATGTCTGGAGGGAGAAGAGTGCAAGACTCTGCCTGACAACTCTGGATGGATGTGCTCATCTGGGAACAAGATCAAGACCACAAGGGTGAGAGCTCTCGCACGCCGCGCTGCAAACGTGTCGACATGCAACACACCTATGCTCCCAAAACACACACTCACGTATGCAGGAGACGTCCAGACGCTCGCTGTGAGTGTGTGCGTGTGTCCTGGTTTCAGGTCTTTTAGCCCCGAAACACGAAAGTGAACGTATTATTCCAAAGAGACAAACAAGTCAGTTTAAATCAGCCACATTTATTTCTCAAATCGTATCTGAACACTTTTATTGGAAAGCATTTCCGTCACTTCCTGCTTCTGTATGAAGTTCTGCAGTCTTTGCAGATTATTCTGACGTAGGTCTGGGCCTTCAGTACGACAAGGTTTGGTTCTGTTCAGTAAACATGTAATCAAACAGGGGAACTCTACCTGAGGCCACATTCCTCTCAGTGATCAAGTTAAGGAGTAGTCTGTGTCTCTACTGCCTCTTGGCTGCATAAACTGACTCCAAACGCAGCATACGAATAGAACAAGGAGGTAAAACCTAAAAGCAAGTTGCAATAAGTTGAGCAGCTGAATTGCACCTACTTCCTTTCCTTTTAGATAAAAGCGGAGGTTAATGAGATTGGAGGGGCAGCATTGGGCTTCCCAAGGCTGTTCTGTAGATTTGTTTGTTGTCATTTAGAGGTGAGAGCTGAGCTGGGCTCTCTCACAGCCGCCGCTGTCACACATTTTCAGAGAGGACTTGATCAAATGAGGGTCTTTTCAGCCCTTCAAGGTAAGGTTGAGCACTTAGATCTCTCTAAAGAATGCATCTCTAATTTTCAGTTCAGTCCTTTGCACAATTTGAAGTGAATCTAAATGTGGTAAAACTTATTTTGATGAGGTCTTTTTTTTTTTATTTGTTAGTTTTTTTCCGGTTAGATCATGTAGGAATGTGACGTTCTGCACATAAAGGGAAAACAAGGCGCCGCATTAAAACGGCTTTGGCCTAAAGTCTCTACAGAGGGCCAGTAAAAAGTCAGGCCTGAGGCTGCTTTTCAACCCAATACACACATGTCCTTCTTTTTCTTTCTTGACCCTCTCTTTGCAGAACACCCAGCCATACTCCCCTTTTTAGCTTCTGGAAGCAAAATGCAGAGGATGCGTCAACAGAAATTGAGCTGCATTCTTGCTTCTGTAAAGGTTAGTCTTTTTCTTAAGCTCTTCTGTCTTTTTTTTTGGTTTTGTTTTGTTTTGTTAATTATTATTGTTTTGTTTCGTTGTCCTTCACATACATCGCATACATGCGCTTTAAGTGTCAGGTGGTAGGAGCGTGACTGACTCGTGTTCAATGACTCCCCATTAACCTAAACACTCGGTGCGAAATAATCAAGTGTGTGTTTACATGCTGCGCATGATTAGGCAGGAGTGACACAAATACAGATCACACCGCCACCCACTGTAAATATTTATCACCCAGCGCATGCATAAATGATGAGTGAGTTCTCAGATTTTCTCACGGGAAAGATCGCACATATATCACGGAACGGGTGGCATCCCGGTGGGTTGGTGTTCACATGGCACATGGCGCGGTGCCCTGGAAATGCATTCGCAGTCTGAGCCCCTCCTTCCTTTCGTCGCCTCTTTTGTTCCGGACCCCGTTTCTGCTATCAGCCGCTGCGTATGTTTGATTGCGGTGCCTCAGACCGGTCTGCCGGTCCCATCAGGGACCGATCGCTACGCGTTTCGTCTGTGCGTTCCTCCCGAGTGTACGCAGACAGGCCGTGCGCTTCTTGTGTTTGATTTGCGCCACTGTTTTTGTGGGCAGACAAAGTGAGATTGCGAGGCATGCCCCTTTCCGTTGTGTGGCGTGTTATCAGAGGCCACTCGATATCCTTATTCCCCCTCGAGGTTCTTGTTGAAGCAGCTATCAGCGGGCAGCAAAGCCCACAGGTTTTTTTTTTGGCTTTTTCTTCTCCCTGCACTCTGGTCTCTATCTTTTTTCTTCTTCTTTCAATTAGCATTCATCGTCTATCTGCCTCTCTGGTCAAAATGTCACATCTGTTGCAAAAGTATCGATACCTATTCGAATCGTTTTGCATTTTTCACCTTTGCGGTGACAACCTTTGACGTGTTTTATTAGGATTTGATGCGATGGACCATGAGGAAGTGTAAGCGCCTTACGCTGCACCCACAGCTGAAACGATGTGAGTTTGGCTCCATCTGCTCTGCCAAGCTGGGGAGGGAATTTTGTTGCTCGTCCTGAAATAACTATGGAGAGAGTGTACAGCTTTCAAATATCCGGCATATAGTCCAGATTGGTTTTTATCTAAGTGGAGGAGAGAACAGAATACATTTGTTCAAAGTTTTGACTTTAGTTTTATCCAATGATTTCAACTCATTTACTGGATGAAATTTAATTTGTTGTAGTTGCAGTTTAGTCATTTTTTTTTATTATAGTTTCACTCTAGTTTTGTTTTCATTCAGCTGAAATATGAATTTTCTTCATTGATCATTTTAATAAATCTGGAGCCTGTGTTTCATTTCTTTGGCGACAAATATGCATCCTGGGATCGACTGGATGCCAGTCTAGAGTTTGCGGTACTCTGGCTCAAATTTTAAATCAACCATCCATGGCTATGTTTCCATCTTGTCCCACATTTCCATGGGACAAAAAAAAATGAGATGTTTGATTTAATCTCTCAAATATTCCATCTGTTCATTCATAATTTTTCATACTTCTTTTCACACTTGTAAATGTTTACTGTGTGGGTTTTATTTTTATCCAGTTTGTAGTCTGGTTTTTGTGTGAGGAAAAAGGTTTGCAGATGAAAAATTTGACCAATATTGAATGTTTTGGTCTACATGCAAAGCATTGTTTGTGCCGGCAGGCAAACATTGCACTTTAGCACCTGTGAGCTAAAACAAAGTGTTGACATGAATAGCAGAGTTAAAGAAACCTGGAAGAAAACCTGAAAGAGCTTCAATACGACCCGGGAGTCGGAACAGCTACCCTAAACTCACAACTTGAGCTTTTTCAATCGTTTTTTGGTCATTTTGATGATCTGGATTTTTCTCAATCAGGTCAACTTTCTGCACTATGGATGCAACATGAGCATCAAAATGCATGGCTTGTTCTCACATCTGGATCCGGAGACTCCATCAGGAGTTGTGTTGGTCTGTTACACAAAATCCGTTTGTTGCACAGCAAATTGTAAGAAAACAAAAACGAAAGGAAAAAGTTAAACGGTCCCATACTTTTCTAAAACACAGTGCGCGTACCCTCCGCATCCAAACAACTGGCTCTGTTCGGTGCTCTGATTTCCCCTCGCAGGGTTTTAGTTTCCTCTAAAACTGTCTGTAAACCACGAAGCAACAGGTGTTTCAAGTTATCAATAAAATTGGCATGAAAAAGCAGGAACCAAGTCAAAGTCAGTGGCTCACACCCGTGTTTCTCCTTTTTTCTGTCTTTCAGAGAGGGAGTCCTTCACTGCCTGTTCTGTGTCAACAGACAGGACAGACGCATTTGTTTGTGGAGGTCACAGTGAGAGCAATGCTGGGGAGCAACCTCCAAAAAAAAAGTCTCGCCTGCCCTATATCTGCATTATGGGTTTCGCTGGCCAAATAGTCCAATATGTTTTTCCTTCAAAACAAAACTATAGTAACAACAAGCAGGATGCAAACAGCTGGAATTTAGAAAGAGAAAATGTTACTCTCCCTTATTTAAGGTTGTAAGAAACGATGGTTGTTTGATCACCTCACTGTCTGCACGAGAGTGGAGATAAATATTTTGCCTGAATAAAGAAAAGAATGTAACGTAACCGTCATCAGATGTCCTGTCAATTTTAATATTGTTTTTGAAATGTTCTCTCTGCCCACTTAAACTCTGCAGTAGTTTCAGCTGTAAAAGAAACAGGAATGCCAACCTTGATGAATGATTCCGCTAGTTGGTATAAAGTTGGTTAATATAAAATTCACATGTAAAAAAAAACACCACAGTTTTTAGAACCACTTCATTAAAAATAACCAATAACAGGAAACAGGAAAGCATGCATGATTCCTGCGGCTGCAGGAAAATATATGCAATACTATTAAATTGTACCTGTTTTATGATTACATTGATTTACACCAACTGAATTTAGTAGTTTTCATGTGCTTGTTATGAGAAATATTACCCGTTTTAGATGTTTTGTTTTTTGTGGAATACGAGTTTTCCTTTCCAGCTCTGGTCAGACGTCTTTATTTGCGCTCAGGTTCTGACCAGCATTTTTATCTCTCAGTTCTCCTAGCAAGTCACAGGAGCGCTTGACATTCAGGGATCCTGCAAAACATGAGGGTGTAGCTGCAATACAGTAATAATGTTTCTGTCAGTCGTTGTTCCAAGCGCATCATCTGTCTCGCAACTCAACTTTGTTAAATCAGTCCACAGTGTGGTTTCAAGCAAGATGCTTGATATTTGGCCCTGAAAAACCACTTCTAGCTAATGCTACATGGCTAATATTTGACAGGGAATAAAAATGCTCAGACCTTTTCTCCTTTATTTGGGTCAAACTTGGAGAAAACATGATGTAATAAAAGAGTTGATTTTCTTCTTTGACAAACTTTATGCTTACAAACAACAACTGTCGTTGCTTCTGTTTTCTGGCTGACTTGGTTTGAGCTTTGGGTGGTTTATTTTCTTTATTGTCAATTGTTTTAATATTCTACAACAAAATGATTTCATCATAAAAACCATAGAAATATTTATATTCTACAAGAAAGTTTCTAAACTTTTGAAAGAGTCGCTTGCTTCACCTTTGTTCTAGCAACTGGTCTGTTCCCATTACAAAGCATCAAACCTAAATAGACTGGCCTTCTTTCATTGTTTTTTTCACTCCGCAGCTTTTATGTGAGCCACATTCTTTTGTTAAAAGGAGCAGACAGCTCTTACTCAAATAAACAACCCATCTGTGAGGACAGTCTGGGAGCAACGGACCTGCAGATTCATCGTCAGCCATCTTTATTCTCACATGTTGCCATCGCACTTTGTACCACGGTGAGATAATCAGTTGAGGTGATGCAGGAATGGTGTGCTCCAGCATCGCTTCATCCCTCTGCTGCTGCTTGTACAGCATCAACACTAAAGACAGGAAATTATACAGCATAACATCATAAATTATATGTTCAGCATAAAAGAGAGGAGTTTTCTCAACAGCATGAGTCTGTAAAAAGATAGATGCAGACCAGACTGCCCTGATCCTCACTCCTCTGGAACATTTATAGAGGTTTTGACTGAAGTAGTTCACTCTAAGTGGCCCCTAATTAATTTATATATATTTCTTTTCCCGTTGTCACTGTTGCATTAAATAAATCTTGACGCATTTTGGTGTCTGGTGTCTTCTGTTTTTATGAGGGAGTGGTGTTTAGTGGAGCTGCGGGAAGCCAGTTCTCCACAGACGCCACTGATTTGTTGAGCACTAAATAAGGAAGGAGAAGAGAGTCAACTATATTTGCGCTGAAGTCTTTCCACCGAGGCAATTGTCCTTGGACGCTACCAACTGTAGTCGGAGTAAATTACAATTTAATGCAGTAAAACAAATTAGAATGCAGACATCTAATTTGCCGGCAACGATGAGCAGGCAAGCAGGAAATCCTTGAGCGATCTACGGCTACCTGCCGGACTCTTCATTTCCAGGGGACTAAAACGAGCGGAGGACACAGTTCGTCTCTCTTACACGTCTGTGTGGGTTGAGATTTCCATACCGCGTCTCTTTTTCCTGCTAACAAACCGCGAGGGGATTGGGGCTTTGAGACGGACCGTGATCCTCCGTATGCAACCTGCTTCTGCTGCTGGTCTTGCAGAGGTAATTTTGATATGGCTGCCAGACAGCCGAGATGATACAGATGCAAATATTGGACAGACGAACCGGAGGGATTACTGTGCTGCAGAAACACGGGAGAAAACATAATTTATTTATTTACTTTTTTCAAGGGTACACTTTGATGAGATCTGGAGGAAAATGTTTTGATGTAAAACAACTTTTTAAAGCATCTATTGCACAATATCATTAGCGAATGATAAATAGATCAGCACTTTTCTCAACTCTGGTTTACAGGCAATTTATTTACCTGGACTAACATGTATTTCTGCCTTTCAGACACTTTAGAATAGATTCCTATCCAAAGAAATCACTTTTCTATCTTTTCTTTCTGGATGAAAATCCTTCAAAAAAGTAAATCACTTATTTGCTGCATCATACGTATCAGGCATATCTAATGAAGTTAAATAGATATTTAGTTCCCCAAACTATTTGATTAAAGTGAAATATTTTTCTGCTGTTAGCAGATCAAACAGGCAGCATCTGTATCATCTCTGAATGTCCAGGTTGCCTGAGTCTTGGCTGGACAGCAACATCTGTCCACCGGCCAGCCTATCTCCACACCAACCATTGCTATACTGGCCAGTGGTTGGCATTAAACTCACTGCTTCCATTATCTCTTTGGGTTTCAGCCCAGAGACGCCCCACAACTCTAGGACATGCAAATATAGACAATGCAGCGAGAAAACTGTTTAATTGCAAGCACAGAAGATGTCAGCGTGTCAGTTTGCTATGGAGCCAGTCAAAAAGTGTCTTAGTTGTCGTTTTACATGCTTGCAGCTGTAAGTATGCTGTCCGGTGTAACACAAATCATGTCTGGCTCGCTTTAGAGTATGCATTTAACTAATACATTTTCTTCACTACATTATCTCAAAGAAGCAGAAAAACTGTAAAATCTGCCTTTAATTGTGTTCAATTGCCCAAATGATGTTTAAATCATTCAACGGGACGAAAGGGAGGCAAGAAACTGCAGAACTCTAGTTGACGCAGACTTACTGCACATTGTTTTTATCGAGCTTCGTGTCGAGCGGGATGCTGAAAAGCTGAACGTTCAATAGCAGTCTCAAGGCTGCACAAAGCGCCATTGAAACGAGTTCATGTCTGCCGCTGATGATGAATTAAACGTCCCTGAACCAAAGTCACGGAGAGACGGCTCAGACTAGGCAGCGTGGGCTTCGATTTAGCAAGGCCAGAGTCATTTTTATCAGATTAGAGGAAAATCCGTGGCTGCGTTTGCCTGACGGCTCAAAGGTACCGATAGAGACGGTTGCAGAGCCGTTCGGGTGGTCTACATATTGAGAGACACAGTCAGTCATTTAACAAGAGTAATTACATAAACCAGACATACACAGCATGGAAACACACCGCGGTGTGTTTATTAGAGTCATTTCTCTTAGTGTTAAACAGCTCACACAAGCTTTTTAGCAGAAGGGCAAACCTGGAGATGAGACAAAGGTTTTACGGAGCTCTGGAGTTTGAAAAATCTCCTTGTCAATTCACCCCTTTGCCAAAACACACCCCATTTCTTACCCATCCGCTGTCGTTTCGTCCTAACCTACTTCCATTTTGCATCCATGCGTTTAACCATTCCATTTTTTTTTCTTAGTATTTGTATTGATTGTGGAGATGAAAAGTTATCAAATGCTGACTTGTAGTCTAATTTAGTTGTATGCCATTTGCTGGAAACTTTCCATTAAATCAGGTAGCCATTGGTTGCTGTTCTGATCCCTGTTTAAGCCATTTGACTCTGATGATGTTTGAGTTTGGCTGATCTTGTACAACTCTAAATGACCTCCTACTTGTGGATATTAACTATTAGTCACCCTCCAGGCTCCAGACATAACATTATGACCACCTGCCTAGTATCAAACTGCTATTTCCTTGTGGTTTTGCAGATTATCTTCTGAAAGAGACCACAGACATCAGGAATGGCATGAGAGTCGTACAAAACAAACTGTGGCAGAAAATGTATTCTGAAATATTTAATTGAGAACCTGCATTAACTTTGACTAGGGACGATCAGTGTTGTTCATGTCACAGTGGTCATAATGTTATGCCCTGGTGGAGATGGATATCGCATATTTCCGAGGATTGTTGGTTGTCACAGCAGATACGAAGCATCCTCTTGATGACTATGAATCGACCAACGATTGGTAGGAGATATTCTGCAGCACTATTTAATGCCCAGAAAATGATGGAACTAAAAGTACAAAATGGCAAAGGGACGAAGTGACCAACACCAGTTCAAAAGAGTCCTCTTGTTTTAGAAATACAGCAATTTCTGGCTCACTTTTACCTCTCTGCTCTCTCTAAGCATCTGCTTGTTCTCTCTCCTCTCCTCTCCCACCCTTGTGTTTCAGATTCACCCCAGGACCTAACAGCGAGCTCCCGGTTGCAGGACTGCGCGCCAGGCTTCACACCCTTTCTGAACTTTTTGTCTCCTCCCGTTGAACTGACTAAAACTATCACATCCGCGGCCACCGACTGGCTTACCCCGGGACGGCAGAGAGGATATCCATCCAGATAAAACAGCTTTGCTCATTTGGTGCCAAGGATGTGAAACAGCACTAATCCCCTGTTTGATCAGTGAGCCCCGCGTCGGTGACTCTCTCCTCTTCCTGTGGCCAGTTTCCAACCTGCTCTCTTTCTGTTTCCTCGCCCTGTCTTTACCTGAAAGCTTGACACAACTTTGCAGGGGCTCATTTAGAGGTTGGTCAAGTATTTTGAAGACAATCTCCCGGCCTGCCCGCAGGGTGAACCGGTCGAGGGGCGCACACAAAACTAAACTTGAGATTCACACAAGTGGTTGCGCAGGGGAGTCAAATTGACCCTCATTTTCTGTTATATCTGTGCAGAAATCATTCGTGTTTGACTCGCTGATGGAGACAGATGCCATTTCTGTGAGTGCAGGAGAGGCAGGACTTCCAGTGACTTGGACCTGCTGGCTGCCTATGATGAGATACGAGAACTCTCCTTCTCCTGGTCTGACTTTATGGCCCCGAGCTTCATCTTCTATATGGGACACGTTGGCTTTTACTGCTGGGCATGCCCAATGTCGATTTCATGAGCACCACATTTATTTTATGTAAGATCATTTGTGTAAATAAACACATAAATACACAAAGTACGCTGTAAGATGACAGGTCCAAGAGGCTGATAAATGTGCCATCCTAATAACACATCAACCAGTTCCTAAAGGACCCGCTTCACAATGTATGCTTGTGTTAAAGGGGGGGAAACGGCTGCAAATGAATTGTAACAATTAATTCTGGGATGCTTTTTTTTTCTTGTCATTCAGCGATGCTTTCGGCTGGGCACAGGCAATGTTTGATGAGGGAAAACAATGTATAGAATCGCCTCACGTGTGGAAGCAGAGCTGACGACACTTTGGGCCCAGACTCGGCAGGGACTCGGAGCAGCTGTGGATAAACTATGAGCATGATCATAAGAAACGGGAGTCGTGTCTCTCTCGCGCATGGGAGACGGAAGATTTGCTTACAATGACAGAGAGAAAGTATTAGTCCCAATGGAGAAAAATAGCTATCCCCCAGTAGATATAAGACAGCCTTATGAAAAATAAAATTTGTTTTCTATACTGAAATGTTGTCTGCCGTTTCTCCTGAAAGATGTTCCTCTTATCACAGTCTGATATGTTGTAATATGTGGGTGGAAGATCTTGTCAGAGTTTCATTCACGTCATGTGATAACATTGTGTGAGCAGAGTTTGTTTTTTCTTTTTTCTTTCTTTCTTGCTCGAGTAAACAGGCAATCAACACGGGTGCAAGGAGAGTTTTAAAATGACTTCCGGGCACAAGACGCGCCGGTGTCTGCCGCAGTCACAAACGAATCTGCGATGCTTCATTTACACAATCCCCTCGGCGGCAGAGTGGATTTATCAAAACAGAACATTCAATTCATTCATGCAATTAGAATAAAGATTTTCAATATCGGGGGCGGGCAAAATTCCAGATGATCTTCAATATCAGCCTCCTCTCTCTGTCTCTCTCTCTCTTAGCTGATATTAGATTCCTCTCTGGTCCCTGTGGACGAGCTGGCGCACATTCATCATTTAGGAACGTGGCTAGTTTGGTGGCGCCCGGCGCCTCGCTGAGCAGTCACAGAAGGTATGAAAGAGACAGACACATCAATCTCCCAGCGGCCTTGCCAGAATCATGAAGGAATATGCAAAGTACGGAAAAGAGAAAAAACAAAAAAACATTCGAGAGCTGTTTTCCGCCTTGGCTCCTCGGTGGGTCGTCTTCTTTGTTTTTCCGATTTTTTTTTTTTTTTTTGTGGAATTGAACTTGACTTAAAGAAAGTTAATTGGAAGAGTTGGTGATTGGGATGCACTGAGGAACTGCCTGGCAACCAGACTCGACCGATTTCCAGCTTCACCTCAAGCAGTCAAAAGCGCAATCTTTCCCTGTTTACTAATAACTTCATATTTGGGCGCCAGCAGGTCATGCTAACCTTTCAGTAAGTTACTCAAGGGAGCTAGATGAAGTCAGAGAAGCTTCTCAATGGAGAATATTTTCTGTAGAGGCATTTCAGTTATTTATTCAAGACGCTACTATTCATTTAGCTCTTTTTGTAGATCAGGATGTTAATTTATTCCTGCCTCGGGAACAACATAAATGTTCTTGAGGCAGGAATGAATGAAGATGTTGAACATTTAAGTTGTTGAATGAACCTGAAGCTGACATCAGCAGAGACTGCGCTTCAACTTTCAACCTTTTCCACTGGATTGAGAAATGACACAAGTTTGTTAGAAACTTTTAGATTTAATTTGAGTGAAAAAAAAGAGACCTGATGATGTTCGTTGAGATGAGTCTCTCGCCTCGCGCTTAAGCCCGTCTTCACATTTCAAGCTCAGAGATCTGCAGTTTTCACCACAGTCTGTTAGGGACTGGTAATGCGCCAGTTCATACATTATCTGCTCAGAAGCAAACAGGAAGTACTGAAAAGTAAATTCTCAACAGAATATCAATGTAGTCTTGTGTTCTTGCTGTCCCAGGGAGATAAATTGCCCAATTGGGCGAGAAAAAAAAAAAAGATCCCACCTCTGCTTACATGACGTTTCTTCATCCTGTTGTTTTTTAACTCGTTGTTTTCTTCATCCACCATCTGTCTTTTTAAGCGTTGCCGGTCAAAGCTGTCGCAAAAATCTGTGGCACTTCCACAGAATCCTAGTGAACCCCGGGTATAGATGGAGGGGATTTAGATTCTTTTGTCAGTGCATTTATAAATGTTAATGTCGTTTGTGCTAATTGCTAATTTGAGATGCTAAAGACAGTTTAAAGTTTCACCTCCTTGCAGATGTCGCTATGAGGCTAATATTGTGTAGTCCACCTGAGTGAAACTGGCACCAACGCCCCCACCTTGTTCAAATCAGACAAAATCTGTGTCAAACAATTCGACTACGTTTGTGCTGGATTGCGCTGGTTTGCGCAGGAACATTTTTCGTTTGTGCTGCTTTGGCTTTGAATGTATTAATGAAAGTTTAAAGGTCATTTTCATTTAGTAAAAGTTGCAGGGGCTATAGTTGACCTCCTGACCTTCAAATTTTCATTCATATATTCGAAGCCAAAGCAGCATGGACCAAAAAGAAAATTGCTGCACAAACGTAGCACAAACGTTTGACACCAATTTTGTCTGATTTGGAAAAAGGTGGGAGGGTCCAGCTTCACTCAGGTGAGTGGCCTCACTTGAAGTTATGCGGTTTTCATTTTGGATGAAGAACCCGGTTTTGTTGCTATTTCTCTTTCGGACTCAGTTCACCCTCTGATCTCTGGGTTTCAGTAAGAAACCCGTAACATCTAAAAGTACACTTTTTATTGACCAGACGTCAGAAATCAGCCACAGATCTCTGATCGGTTCGTCTCTCGCTTCTCAGCATGTATAACAGTCACATGGTGCTTTTTTTTTTCTTGTAAAAATGAACATTTCTGTTTATTTCTGTTTGTAATATTGTGTTAATCTGTGTAGATTTCAACCTAAATCAGTAAAACAGGTCATACTATGAACATTATCCTCATGTTCAGAGCTCATGATGGAAATAATGAGTTTCTTTTCATTCTAGTCAACACCTTCTATTTAGGTTCTAAGTAAGTTGACTTTTTGCTTAAAGTTACATAGGGATTAAAAATTGAAGAGTTGTTTGGTTTTCTATTACCTTCTATGCGTTTCTTTGCCATTTCACGGTGCAGCAGTCATGCTGTGGAGGGAGGTCCTGCTCCACGTTTGACCGAGCAAAACAGAACTCCGAGTTTTGAAGAAGCGGGTCTTGGGCTTCCCTTCCTCTTTGCTGTGCTGCAATCCTAAAAATCAAGACAACCATAAAATCCAGCCGACCTCCTATGAAAACAGCTAGCCAGCAGCATCCACATGTTGCCGGAGAGCTGATCAACGGCTGACAGCAAGGACAAATCTTTTCACAGCCGACCTGTGCTAAAAATGGAGACGCTGCTGTTTGTGAAACTCACAGGTTTGTTTTCCACTTTGACACTGGGATCATGTGAAAAAGAAAATAAAATAAAAGAGAGTCATCCACGGTTCCCTTACTGGACATTCATATTCCTTAATCATTTTTAAATGACTGCGTATAATTTGAGAAAAGGGCACGCTTCTCACCTGTGGGGGCTCTGAAGTCTGTTATTACAGTCATTATGACTCACTGTGAATGTGCGCTTTACAAAGAACGTCCACCGAAGCCGGACAAACGAGAGCCTCCAAAAGCATTAAGAGCACAAAGACCGGGCTTCGGTGACGGATTATCATCAGTCTCTCTGAGGTGCAGCTGTGCTTCTACAGGCGGCTTTATATTGGATTTGAAATAATCGTCTTAAAGATTGCACGTCAGAAATACTAAAACCTGGTAAAAAGGAAGATTAGACTATCCACAGGAGTTTTTAGCGGTAAAACTCCAGCTTGTCACAGAGCAGATCATTAGGTTTGTGTCCTAAAACCTGCTGCAAGGCTTCACTCTAAAAACTGACCAACAACTTAACCTAAGTTATTTTGTTCTGAAATGCAGCGCTGTGTGTGAACAATGTTTGTAGGATTGGACGGATTAATCCGATGAATCATGATGAATCAATTGTTCAACTGATTGTCGACTAATTTAGTAACCAATTAATTGTTACATAGAGTATCCAGACTCCAAAAAAGACAATTTTCTGAATTACAGTCAGAGCAATAATTAAGCCAAAGCGGCACAAAAATATATACATTTTACATGAAGGATTAAAAAACAAAACCTTCTTTGTTTAACCACCATACGCATGTCAGGCTTTATTTTGTCACATAATTGTGGGTTCAATTGTATTGTCAAATAGAAATATTAGAAAAAATGTCTAATATCATCTGAGGTGGTTAACTGACAAATCCTCATTCAAAGCCAGTCAGCTGTGCAGACCTCAGCCAAATTATTCACCACTCAGAAATGAATAACGATTATTTATTTCTCTGCTGCTCAAAAATAAATTTGCCTGTTTTCTCTACAAAGCAACACGCAGCAATCTGAAATCCGTCATTTCTACACGAATGCCCGAGTGTCGAGCACCGCATGTAGCTTCCCAGCGGGGGGTCCGGTGTTGTCACAGAACAGGCTCCCACTGAGACTCCGCCGTTCCCTCGCTCTCATTAAAACAGGGGCGTTTTTCTCAGCAGCTACTTGACACAGAAACTCAACTGTCAAGTCGAGATTTACCAATTTGTTTGCGATTTTGGGAGCAACCGAATGTGAAAAGTCAGTCAGAATCATAATTGAATCGAGATATTCTGCTGTTGTCAAAGCAAGATCAAACATGCAGCCTGATGTTTTGTTTCTCCTCCCGGATGCAGAAACCTAAATGTCCCTTGAATGCATCATCTTCACTCAAATGTCACAAACATCAGAGTTACTCAATTTTCTCTGCTAGTGCAGAGAATTTTGTGGACTAGCGTCTCTCTCACTGAAAAAACAAACTTTGCCACCATCGGACGGAATCACCATGAAGAAAGAAACCAAGACTCTGCAACAAATAGATATAATAAAAGGCTCAAAAACTACCAATATATTACGGAGCCCCATAGGAGACGTGGGGAAAATCTCTTCTTTCGCATTCCCTCGCAAAACCTTTTTGAAAAGTCAGTTATCGCTTTTAAAGAATCACAAAACATCACTTTTTCCTACACTGGTATGCCGGAGGACTTTTCATCTGGACAGTTAGCGTTTAATAGAAATGGAATAAGCAGAGCACAGTTCTGATAACACAGCAGCTGATTGGACCTTGCTTTTGCTTTCTTTCTTTCTTTTTTTTTGAGCAGAGGTCAGACACAATTTCATGCTGTTTGTCCGACTTTGTGTAGAGTTCAGGGAAGCAGCCCGGCCTTCAGGCCAGAGACAAAGCCCGCCACCGTTAGTCCAGATCATGCCCACACATGCAGCTTATTGCAAAGAAATTACCTTGGGTATGGATAACGGAGGGGAAAGCTACATCATTTATCTTGTCTCCACTCTGCCTGGAAACTTTTATTAGGTTATTTGATTTATGCAATTTGATTTAAGTACTGTGTGTGTGTGTGTCACAAAATTCCCGAGTTTGCCTATAGACTGCCGTTAGTCTTGCATGGTCATA